GTGCATCAGAGGCCTGTTTGAGGGAAGAGATTTGGACACGAAGTTCTTCAGTCATAGCTCCAGCAATCAAAGCTCCAATAGCTGAGCCAACAAGGAAGGCCCCAGTGGCCACTAGCTGCAGGGGTCAATGTCCATATTGTCTCCCTTTGGAAGAAAACTGAAGCAAAGGCAAATAATGTGTATGCATATTTTTCTGTATGTGATTAAATCCTTTCTGAGACTCCCATGAGGCTCATTGTAACCTTGAATGGTTGAATTTGAGGTTTAATCAGCATTCTCATAGGAACTGAGAGTCGGGGAATAAAAGGTGGGGCTTTTGTTGTAACGGGTTCATAGAATGGTGGAAACGGAACTGCTCTCTTATAATGTGCAGTAAAGAATTTATATATTGAATTGTATCCACCTCCTATCCACCTCTATCAATAATACAAGGTGCTATATTATTATGTTTAATATAACAATCTTCAAAGGTTAGGGGGGCCACAAATACCTTATTAAAGTCTAAGTCTGTGTTTAACATGGAGGAAGAATTGTACAATGGTTGATGTGCAATAAGATCTACCATGCCCCATGTTTTGACTCTGGGCAGGGGCAAAAGCATATAGAAGTAATAGGGCAGAGTCCCGTGTCTATATGCAGTGCTATGCAGAGTTGTTGGAAAAAGCAGGCCCGTGAAGTGCCACCAAGTTAGTGATCTATCATCAGCTTCTTTAATCTGACTTCAGTGAGGTCAGAAGTAACACAAGCCCCATATCTCAGATTTTCCTCATGAATTGGGGGGGGGGGGTTTATAATAAAAAATGGTAGTGGTAAGTTGTAAAATGTTCTTTTGGCTACCTTCTATGGCATAGGTGTGGTTCAGAACCTGAGGTACAACATCGCATGGTGTTGGGTAATTGTGCACAGTTGACGAAGTGTAACTATCCAATATATGACATATTCTTAAAATAGGAAAGGTAAATGAACAAGCTCCAGCCACAGTGATATTTTGTACCATCAAGACAGAAACATCAGCAGAGACAATAACTAACATATGACCCGTAAAACCATACTCGACATCAGTCGATCCAGAATCGAATGTTAGGCATTACCATTAAAGAAGCATCAGTTCCACCCAAGTTATTTACGAAGAAAAGAAGGAAATAGTTCTGTCTGCCAGGGTGGCGTAAAATAGAGTCAACTATCCAAAAGGTAGAGAGAATTCCAAGAGAGGTTTCCCTGTAATAGTTAATGAGAAGTCCAGTCATACCTGCCTGTGTTGTAGGACATCTTTTTTGATGGGTCAAATGTGATGTCAAAGAACTTGATACGCATTTCTCCAGACTCAGAGACATTAGCATAAGTGTGCCAGTAGAAAGAACTGTTACCTAGGCCAATATTTACCAAGGAAGTTAAACATAATGTCATTGTTTTCTGCTTACATAGTTTACATCACATTCCTCTGATTAAAATCACTGTACCTATATGTTGCGTCAGTGGGCATATCTGCGCACAGCAGACCAACGTAAGCTGAATTAATATGAAAGACATTATGTCTGGTGGAATTGTTAATGAACAGCTTCTCTTGATGATAGCTTCTCTTGCAGAGAAACCTGTATTGTTAGCAGACATTTATTTAAATCCTTCTGTTGTCTTTGAATTATCAGAGATGGTTGTGTTACCAGCTCTATGATAGGCAGCGGAAATCTGTAAGATTGAGTTCCCAAGGCTGATATCTTTGTCAAACATCCACAGATGGAAAAGATACATTCCAAACTAGAATGTCAGTTGAGTTAATTCTCTATGTATTAAATATACCATAGTGAGGCTGATTAGGGAAATCTCCCACACAAAGTGACTCCGGAGTTCAGAATGTGACTCAAAAAGTGTATCTGGTCACTCCCACCCAAGGGCTTGGGTAAGGCAGGTTATGTTTTTTTCTGAATCGATATATGTGGTCTGAGTTCTTGGTCCAATCAAAGGCAGGGTGGTCTGTTAATGGAGCAGTGGAAGTGGAAGAAGTGTTGACTATGACTTCTGTCTCATAATCATCTTCATACTCAAAGAAGTCATCATAAGGGTCAGTAAGCATGGTCTTAGTAAATAGTCAAAAAATGCAGCAGTAAATTTAAAATTCATAGCATGATTACATGTAAATGTTTGTTCATTATCCTCAGATTCCTGTATTCTTGTTATGGTAACATTATTTCCTAGGTGAGATACCTTGACAATTTGATATGCAGGTGCCAATTTCCTGAAAAACATAGGGAAAATAGCAGAGCTGGATCATACTTGCCTATTTCCATGACATGGCAATGCAGCGGGTCCTCATCATAGATTCGTGTTATCTACTGCAGTAGCTTCCCATCAGAGAGATGACGATTGTTTGGTGGCTTGATAGAAGGGTTCTCAAAAGGAAGAATAGATGCTCTTGTCCAATGACCTGCAATATGAATATTTTGCCCCAAAGTGTCTAGTATTAAGTGTGTTATTCTGAAGCCAGGGGAGATGATCCCAATATTTAGGTACCTTTCATAAGTTTACGTATTCTGGATGCTTGGGAATATCAGATGGTAACTTGAAGTCATCAAACTGAGCATCACTTCCTTCTGGTTCATAAGATTTGATTGCAGTGGGTGTTGGGTCATCCGTAATCATCATCACCCATAGCACAGTCCCAAGTCTAAGCCCACAAGGAAAGCAGAACATGGCCACATGATGCATGCTGCAATCATGTCAAATGAATTAAGCGAAGTCATCAATGGTCTCAAAGAGGATTCTCACCAGAAGTAGGCATTCTGAGGGAATAAATTTGGAAAGGATGACCACTAAGTCCAGAAATTGTGACCATAAATGAAGGGGGACCCTGCTCATGGGGTTAATTTAGCATCAAAGTTTCCAGCAGGCAAAATGTGTTGTTGGTAAAAAGATGAGTTTCCCAATTAGAGTTGGTGTTTCTGCATTCACAAATCGTGTGGTGGCCTGTCAGCAAGATGGCACCATAAACAATCACCAAGGAGGAAACAAAGATGGTCAGAAGTCTATAGATATAACAAAGATTCATACCTTTAGCTATTACTTAATGTATGTAGGGTGAGGCATTAAATGAAGGATCACCTTGATACCAGTGATGTAGGTATTGAGGTTTATCCCAAGGTCAGCTGTCATAGAGGGGAAAGGTCTTTGAGATCCTCTTTCTGGGCAGTCATCCAGACAGAATTCCCAGGTCCTGGAGCAACAATGTCTTGCACTTGTAAAGCAATGCTGTCTGTCCTGGAACAAACCATACATTCATCAGTCATTTAAGGGAGTTCTGTAGAATCTTTGAGAGGTGGTGGTATAAGTCAGGGGCCAGGGGGCAAGGAATGGTATCAAAGGGAGATTGTCTATGTAATCTCTGTTGAGAATTAAGTTCATAAATTGCTATTAGTAGGGTGCAATGTAATGTCAAGTCAGTGTAAGAGGACAATTTCATTTTTAAAAGTCCACTGAAGCATTCGATATAACCTGAGGCTATTGGGTCACAAGGGAGATGGACATCCCCTAATATGTCCAATGCATCTGCTAGTTTCTGCACAATTGGTCCAGTGGAATGGGAGCCTTGCTCAGAGGAAATGAGCTTAGGTGGTCCATATTGTGAACCCCAAGTACATAAGGTCAACAGGGTTGTGGCCTGATCTGATGGCAAAGCTTAAGCCACCTTGCCTTTTACAAGCTTAGAAACAGATGTGGTTTCAAGTGAGGACTTGTTAATGGCAAAAGATGGAGAGTAAGAACAGGAGCTTAGGTATCAAGTGATTTTTTTTTTCACCTCAGGATTTTGTGGCGCTAGAACTGTTGTGCATTCTTGACTCAGATCTGTGGTCTCAAATCCTAGCATTGCTAACCAAAATCATTATTAGTATAAATCTAATTAGTTCCTCGTATAGTTTGGATCTGAAATGTATCTTTGGGTCTCAAACGTAGTCTTTGGGCTCATGTGTTAAAGATCTGGTCCCTACCCACAGTGCCAATAGGTGGTGGAAGAGGTGAGGCCTACCAGGAGGTCTTACATCCCCGAGGAAACACGCTCTTCAAGGGGACAGTAGGATCCTGGACTTCTCCTCTTCTTTTGCTTCTCTGCCCCGACATGAACAGTTCTGCCACATGCTCCCCACCATGACGTGCCACCACGCCACAGGTAAGCAACAGGACCAGGTGACAGTGGAATGAAACCTATAAAACTGAACAAAAATAAACCTTTCTCTTTATGAGTTGATTGGCTCAGGTATTTAAGAGACCCATCATCAATAAAGGTTACCAACCATAACCCTTTACATCAATGAAGGGCATGAACTATCAATACTGCTTAAGAGCCAACCGAGTTGCTCTTTGGAGGGAGGTGGGTTGGCTGGAGTGCCCTGCCCACTTCTCTCAGCAAACATTTCATCTCGGCTTCAGGAGGGATGAAGGCACCACTGTTTGAGCCAACAACTTCATTGGGGATTAGTCACTGGGAGATAACCTACAGTGACCTCAGATCTTGACTCAAGGCCTCTGAACAGCCAGAGTTCTCAGTCTCTCTTGGGATGGGGACACACTGGCCATTTCCCTGAGCTCTTGATGCGGCTGCTGCCCATGTTCCAAGGTTGCTTCCCTTCACAAGGGACAGTGGTCGTGATGGCCACAACCAGCCTGGACATGGATTTATTGAGGAATATTTTAAGGACAACTGGTGAAACTCCCTATCCATTATTTAGGAATCATTCCTTTCCTCAGATAAGCCCTAGAACAGCCAGACATACAGAAAACATTATTTCATTAAAACAGACTAAGTATCTTATATTACCATCAACAAAAGATAAGTTGAAGCAAGCTTCAAAGACATACAAGTGCATAGCTTCAGATGCCACGTTCCTCACACCTGGGGGAAAGTCTGCCAAATCTGAGAAGTAGGAAACCCAGAACAAGAGGAGAGGCCTTAGAAATCTCATCAGGCAGTGAACAAGACACGACCGAATGATCAGAGACGGCACGCTGTCTGACAGTCTACAAATTTATTTATTGAGTAAAAACAAAATTAATGTCAAACATGTTAAATTTGGATTGGTTCAAACTTGACTGATGTCCGTCTGCAGCGGAGAAGAGCCGAGGTGAGGGAGATGCACAGTGATGCCGGTGAGGGGACAATGACAAAATACTCTTCCACAGCAGGCACCCCACAGCCAGAGTCAGCCAGCCACGGAGCGGAACTGAAGCAAGGGAAGAACCGGGTCAAGTAAGCACAGAGCTCTGAGCAGGAGGGGGTCCAGAACACTCAGAGGACAAGGTGTGGCGAGGCTGGCAGGAGGTCAGCTGTGGGTGCACGTCTGCTGCGTCACTTGGGGAACACAGTGACCACGTCGTATCCCTCCGGGGGTACGACGCGCTCCCGGGCATGCTTTTCACAATAGATTTGATCCTCTACGAAGAAATGGCCCTTCTGCTTCAGGTTCGTGCCGCAGTCGGTGCACACGTAGCACTCGGGATGGCGGTGGTGGTCCCGCAGCTTCACAAAAACTCCGCTGTGGAGGGAGGGAGGGAGGGAGGAGGGGGCTCTGTTAGTTACAAGCACCTGCAGGTGACACCAGGGCTCTGCGCCATCCTTCCCGAGCTGGGCTTGGGGCTTCTCCACGGATGCCCTCCCATCAGAGGGCAGACCACGGTCTCCTAACAGGTCTCCAGCAGCAAATGTAAAAGGGCTTCTGATTCCCCGGGGCCAGACATTAATCTGGAAGTCCATTCCACCTCAACAGAGGGCAGCACTGCTTTTTTACACATTCAGAACCTAAGGGCTCCACAGCACAGGACAACCTGGGCCACCTGGACCTGGGACACAAACCTACGCAGCCTCCCGCCTCCCTGCTCCATTTTGTCCAGGTAGGATTTGTCTCATTTCCACCCAAAACAGGTGTTGCATATCCCATAAGGTTTCCTCCTTTTCACGGTTTACCCAACCTGCAAGGCCTCTGTGGACTGCAGGGGGTAGATACTTACACAATGCCAGTGCCACATTTGTCACACATGGGCAACTTCTGAGCATTTCCAATCGATGCGGCCACTTTGGTGACTGGAGCTTTAACACTTCTGAATCCTGAAGGTTTGTTGGGATCCCCTGAAATGATAAAAGCACTTACATTGGCTGGGAAGTGCAGAGCTGCCTACATCTCACTCGGCTCTCTCAGAGCCGCTTCTAGATATGTTCAAGTAAGATCTTGGGCACTGGGGTCAGATGTGACTCTGCTGTGAGGTCCCTGGAAAGTTACTTAACTTCTCAGATCTCCTATTTTCCTTTTCTATAAAATTTTCATTTTCTCCTTCACTGCCATACAAAGAGACTTTTAAAAATACATGAAGCCCTTCTACAATGGTAGGCACCTGGGCACACATTGCGAATTAAATACATGCAAACACTGATACAGGAACTTACAAACACCTTATGTGGATATAATACATAAGTCAATAAAAGCAATATCTGATGACCAAAATACAGTGTATTTAGATGTGGAAAGAGGGCTTATGTAGCTCAGTGGTAGAATGCTTGCCTAGCACTGTGCAAAAGCACTTAGTCTGATTCCCAGCACTGCAAAAACAAAAACAAAACACCCTTCTAGTTGCAGAAAGAAATACCTCCTCCCTCCCCTGCCCCCAAATCATTCCAGTACAGCATGCTACAAGCAGCCAGAGGAAAATCATCTACTACATCTTCTGCAGTCATCTTGGTGCATATGAAATAAGCACCCAGTTGCTAGATGCTCAAATGCCTACAGCTCATCTCATCATATCTCAGGGAACAGAGCTCTCTATCATGGTAGCTTGGCAGAGTAATAAGCTGTTACTACCACTACTGTTGCTATATACTCAGCTGGCTGGGCTTTCCCATCACTTATTTTTTTTTTTTTTACTACAATGTATTCTGGCAGTACCATTATATTTGTCAGCTATTTACACAGCTTTTTTTCTAGACTGTAAACAACTTGAATACCAGAACCTTGTTTTGTATATTTTTTTAGTTCCCCACAGAGCCTAGCATGGGGCTTAGCAAATAATAGACTATCCACAAATAATATGGAAATGAATTGTGAAATGCTATGACAGATGCAGAACGATATAGTCTTGGCCCCGCATGCTTTGACTAAAGAAGCTAGAGATGCCTCCACACCAGTGGTGGTTCTGAACAGACACCTATGAGCATCCAAGGCCCTAAGAGAAACTCCAGAAAATTCATAGAAGCATCCTACCCCAAACAAGCTCAATTAGCATCCACAGGTGCAGAGATCCCATCTCCAGGTACAGAAAATACTACCATATACCTGCTATTTTAGGCAAAAGCAACTGTCTTCAAACTTTACTGCCTATCAGATTCACCAGGTGTGTTCGATGAGCCACAGATTGCTGGGTCCCTGCCACCAGATTCTGTAGGCCTAGCATGGGGCCTGAGAATTTACATTTCCAATAAGTTCATAGATGCTGCTGCCGGTTCAGGAACCACTGGACCCAGACCCAAGAGCCACTGGACAAGGGCAGAGGGATGGCTGTCTGGGGGAAGGAGGTGGGAGAGGATAACCACAACCATGCTAGGCAGTCCTGGGGCTGACAGATGAGGATGCTGCCTCTTCTCTCTACCTGCTCAGAAAATGAGTCCCCATATGCTGACCGGTGTTTTTGAACCAAGAGTTGAGATATGTTCAAAAAAAAGGGTGTTCAGAATGCCTCTGGCTGGTGTGATCACCTGCATATTTTGCCCACAGCTATTCTGCCCCTCCATTCCATGATTCTCTCTAGTCACTAGTTCTCTGCTGGGATGATTTTGTCCCCTAGGTAACAGTTTTGGTTTTCCTAACTGGAGCAGGAAAGCTACTCTCACCCTGGGGCGGGGGAGAGTCCACGTGGAAGATGGAGCAGCACAGCAACTTGTTCAGTCCTGCAGCGCCACCTGCTGGCTCCGGGGTTTTTTTCCTCTCACTTATACAGCCAACACTGAAATTCAAAGAAATCTCTCTTCTTCCTTACTCCTCAACTAGTTTGCTACTGGACTCCAGGCAACCAAACACATTTCCAAATTTCTCTTCTTTCAGTGATAACTTCATCTCAAACACTTGTAGGGAAAAAACTGAAAATGATCTAAATAAAACACTTGTTTTTCTATCCACTTCACAGCACAACAATCTTCCATGGCTCAACACTGCCTACAGAATCAAGCTCGTGATCCTTAACCTAGCACTGGTGGTCCTCTGTTAAGACTCCAGACATCTGAGGATCCTCCTAGAATACCGGGTACCAGTCAAAATGAGCCTGGAGAAGCATGTGGCCAGCTTACTCCTCTAAGGAAGCTCTGGCCACCACTGTGCTATCAGCCCATGACATCTCAGCATGTTAAATCTCCCTCCCATAGACAGATGACCAAAGGTGGTATAGACCTACACAACAGAATAGAATTCTGCCTTAAAAAGGAAGGAATTTCTGACACATGATACAACACAGATGAACTCTGAGGACGTTAATACCAAGTGAAATGGGCCAGCCACAATAAGCCAAACTCTGTGATCCCATTCATGAGGGGTATTTGGAACTGTTAGATTCAGAGACAGCAGAGTGGAGGAGGCCAGGGGCTGGGGAAGCAGGGAATGGGGAGTTATTCTTGATTGAGTACCAAGTTTCAGTTCTGCAAGATGAAGAGTTCTGTGGATGGACGGTGGTGACAATAGCATGACATGAATGCACTTAAAGCCACTGAACTGAACACTTAAACAGAATTACGATGGTAAACTTTACGTTATATGTAATCCATCAAAATGAAAAACCATAAAGGCTCCTTTGGCCTGCAGATTTCTGCATTTCTCCAGAGCAAGAAGAAGTGTGAGGAACCCAAGGCCCTATTCTCCTGGTGCAGAGGGTGAATTTCATCCAAAAGGAGTCTCTCAAGGTTTATCACTAAACCTCCTTGAGCACCTTGCTGACTGTGCATGGGGCACTTTACAAGACCCATTTTACCCTCACCTTTTAACAACCCCTTGAGGTCCTCATTATTAGCCTAACTTGAAGAAGAAACTAGGGCTTAGAGAGACCAGCAACTTGCTGGAGGCCTCATAGCAGCTCGGGCAGATCCCGATGCCAGTGCTTTCTGCCCCACAGCACTGCTCTCTGAACCAGAGACCTTTCCAAATGACAGTAACCCTCATTGGGTGCTTTAACCATGTACCCGCCACTGCCCTGGGCTTTGACCATTTCATTCCAAGTAAAAATAGGTATTTGACTCCCCCCCCCCCCAGGGCCTTCTGCATGAGACAGATGTTTGGACTGGAATTTATCCTGTTGCATTCAGTGAAAAATTAAAGCACACATTCAGAGACAGGAAAATCTACAAGATCTGTTATTTCCTTCTTCCTTTTTAGCTAGATCTTGATTTTCTTTGGGGCAAGAAGGCATACAGCCTAAGGGATACAGATGTAATTCTCTAGACTCTTTTGCAACTAGGTGTGGCCATGTGACTAGATCTGGATCAATATAATGTAAATGAAACAGTAGTGGGACTTGTGGGAAAGAGAAAGCTGGCTCATCTGAAAGGGGATTACCCAATCACCCTTGTCCCCTTCCTTCCTCCCTGGTGCCTGGAAATGAGCATGATGGATGGAATACCACCAGCTGCCAATTAGGACCACGAAGTAGCCAGGAAACCATGGCAACCATGGGTTTGGTTGATGGAGCACAGGATGGAAGCAGCCCAGACCCTAATGAGCATGGAGCTGACAACTTCCTGCTCAGGTCCTTCTCTGTGAGCCCAGGTGAACTCTGCATCCTCTGGTTATGTCCTGGTTTGGACTGGGCTGACTGACTTCACCCGTCTCGATTCACATCCACCTAGAGTAAAATAAACCGTGTTTCTCATGTTTTGACAAACCTGTCATCCTCAAGGATTGGAGCCCAAGTCCAAGTCTTTCGTCAGTCAGGCCTAATACTGGAACTAATACAAAGTCTGGCTCATTTCTTCCCAGCTGCACAAGTTCTCCAAGCAAAGAAGGAGATTGCTGGTAGAACAATATCTTTTAGCATAAAAGAAACATTCTCCTAATTTCCTGTGGGTATAAATTACCACTCTCTAAAGAACGCACACCACTAGGGGAGGGAACCCAGGTGCTGGGTGTGTGGAGCTGGGAAGTTTCAGCACAAAGGGCCTCCCCAGAAGAAACTGAAACTCTAACAGAAGGGGTGGAGGGGGTTCCCCTTGCCCAGGGCACTCAGCTCTGACCCCTCCCCGGAGGCCCTGCACAGACAAGTCAGCCCTTTGCAGTCTGGCAGAAGCAGGTTCCCCCAGGAGACTCCCCAAGCACCCCTTCTAGGAGTACCAACTCTGTTCACATGTGGATAGTCTGAGAAGAGGACAAGAGCTTTTAACATTTTAAAAGTCAGAGCTGGAGATGGAGGTCAGTGGTACAGTACCTGCCAGGTATGTATGAGGCCCTGGGCACTGCGGGGGAAAAAAAAGATAAAGTGCATGCCAAGCAATGTGGTCTAAGCCAGAGAGATGGCTGAGCCTCGAGGACAGGGACAGAGATTGTAGAGGGCCAGGCATCATAAGGACTGGGTGTTGTGGTTTGGATCTCAGCTGTCCCCCAAAAGCTCATGCTTGAGACAATGTAAAACGGTTCACAGCTGAAATGATCGGGTTATGGGAGCCTTAGCCTAATCAGTGCATTAATCCCCTGATAGGGATTAACTGGGTGGTAGGGTGTGGCTGGAGGAGGTAGGTCCCTGGGTATATGCCCTTGGGGTTTATATTTTGTCTATGGTGAGGGAAGCTGTCTCTCTCTGCTCCCTGATACCATGGCCTACGCTGCTTTCTTCCACCAAACTCTTCCCCCATGACATTCTGCCTCCCCTCGGGCACAGAGCAACGGAGTCAGCTGTCCATGGACAGAGACCTCTGAAACTGAGGCTCAAATTCCTCCTCTAAAATCATTCTTGCCAGGTCTTTTGATCACAGAAGCAAAAAAAAAAAAGCTGACTAAAACACCAGTAAAGACCAAAAATGAGAATCCAAGAGGTGTTACCTGGGAGCAGGGGAGGCAGGAGCTGCCAACATACAGGCCACATGAATGGGAAGGGGAAAAAGATCCCCTACTGGGCATAGGGATGCCTGCAATCACAGCTATTTGGGAGGCAAAGGCAGGTGGATTCCAAGTTCAAGGCCAGTCTGGGCAACTTAGCAAGATCCTGTCTCAAATTTTTAAGAAAGCTGGGGTGTAACTCACTGGTACAGCACTGGCCTGCCATGTGCCAGGCCCTGGGTACGTGTGTCCCCACACCACAGCGGGGGGCAAAAGGAATCCCTTCCTTAGCACATCCACTTTCACCAATTTCTCACAATATTTCTGGTTATTAAATGAATAATAATGCTCTCTGCTTGAACATCACTATAATAAATACACATGAGATGTATACAATGAGAACTGTCTCCTGAGACCTGCAGAACCACCCCAGGTGGCCCTGGGTGCCTCAGGCACCAGATCTCACCATGGACAAGCTAAAGCTGACTGGCAGCCTCCTAATGAAGTCTCAAACATCATCATAATCACTCAGCATCTGCTCTGTGCTGGTCATAGTGAGAGGTGTTTTGCACAGCTTATGAGACCTGAGCCTAGAACAGTTCAGAGACTAGCCTGAGGTCACAGGGCGAGAATGTGGCCATACGAGGGACTCTCAGGCCTTCAAGAAGTCATGCACCCTAAAACAAAAACAAACCCATGGCTCCAAAGGGAAGAGGGGCCCCTCTCCCTACCTCCCCTTTCTCTCCCCCTTAATGAGCTTTTAGCATTTTAAAAGTCAGAGCTGGAGATGGAGGTCAGTGGTACAGTACTTGCCAGGTATGCATGAGGCCCTGGGCACTGCAAAAAAAACAAAGTCCACGCCAAGTCCATGCAGGAGCACGTGCCTACAATTCCAGCTACCTGAGAGGCTAAGGAGGATACTAGCTCAAGCCTCCAAGCACCTGTGCTCTTTCTACCTACTCCAGCTGCACTCACCTGTGTTATCAATGACCAACCCTCACACCAGGCCTTGAACAAGAGCCTCTGATCGTAGGTAGGGCTGATTACCTTTTTCCTCTGATTCTAGGATTTCCTGCAAAACCAGGAATGACGTGGACTGTTTCGGGGGCTCATTTAACTCCTGTTTCTCCTGGAGCATCTTGTAAACTTCAGATTCTTTGCTGATGGCAAGGCCTCCTGAAGGCTGAGGATGGTCTAAGCTGTAAAGAATGTTTGGAAATTTATTAGGACAAATCAGAAGTGAGCAACGACTTCACCAGACACTCCCCCACTCCCAACAGACACCCCTGATTCAATGGATGGGTAGAAATTATCCCATCTCCCAGCCCAGCTGTAGACCTTCTGCCAATACCACGGGGTGTCCTCGTAGTCAAAGCTGCCTACGGCTTCAATGCAGCAAGAGGCTATTTTTCCTAATGGTTTTAGTAATTCAATTACATTTTGGCTTAATCCAATGGAAGGGGAATGCTTTACTTCTTTTTAAATTATATAAACATTATGTCAAGAGAAAACTTGGAAGAGGGAATATGTTGACCACAATCTGACCACTAAAATCTCAGCTGAGTCCCCTGAGAAAGGACCACATACATTCCTCTCATATAAGCAGAAATCACTGTTCTTCACTCCTGCGGACCTCACAGGCTTTCCCTGTCTCCACCAGCTCCAGCCTCACCTATCACACGGTTACAGTATCTGTCCTGCCTAGTTCACAGGGATGGGGGCGACCATGCAATGAGCACGTTCTTTGCAAACTGTGAAGAGCTTGAGCCCAGGGACTAGGGAAGCCAGGCCTTGCCTCCCGTGCCTTCCTCCTGTCCCTCTGGGTGCCCCAGAACAGGATGAGACAGGCACTGCTGTGAGCATCCCCCTCACCCCACCACCCCCCACACACACACATACCCCACCCTCCCCACCCCTGCTCCTTTTTCCAGTGGGAGGAGACCTGTGCTGCCAGGTTTCAAGGAAAGAAGGTAAACAGGAGACTCCAGTGAGTTCTACAGGATAGATCCCTGCAGAATCTATCCTGAATCTGACCCTCCTCACCTCCCCAGCTCTCCTGAGTGTCCAAGCCACACCATGACTTGACTGACCAGCTGCCTAACTTGTCCCTCTGAGGCCAATCTCAGCTGCAGGACAGGCTTGGTTTCAACCAGAGGCCAGTAGGATATTTTAAATATATGAACCAGACTCTATCAAGACATGGTTCAATGTAATCTCATCTGACTTTAAACCAATTCCTTATTTTAATAACAAAATACAGGTTTAAGGGGTTAGGGTGGTGGCTCAGTGGTACAGTGCTTGCCTAGCATGCGTGAGGCCCTGGGTTCGATCCTCAGCACCACATAAAAATAAACAAAGGCATTCCGTCCATTTACAACTACAAAAAAAAAGATACTTGTCTATTTAAAAAAAAAATACAAGTTTAATCAAATTCAACTTTTAGAGTAAATGTTCACTACAGAAATAGGGAAAAGGCCCTAAAAGATGTAGCCCGGCTTCCCATTCCAAATGCAGCTCCTGACCCAGCCTCTAGCAGAGCAGCCCTGGGCAGTGCCCAGGCGGCCAGCTTGTCTTGCAGGCTTTGCAGCACTGCTCTGTCTGGAAAGTCTCCCCAGATACCCCCAGAGCACTCAGGATTCCTTCAGATGCACTCCTCAGAGAGCGCTTCCTGACCCGACTTACAACCACCCACCCCACCCCACCACTGTCTACCCCCCACTTATTTCTCACTGTGTTTTGTATCTGCATCTCTTTATTCTGGTAGTGTCTGTCTCCCCCTGGAAGCTAAGCAGGGACTTGGCCTGTTTTATTGCCCAGGACTTGCTGGATACCTGCCCCAGGGCCAGAGCTCAGCAGGTATCAGGTAAGTGACCAACAATGCCACAGGACCTGGTGCCTGTTCCCTCTCTCTTTCCCCCTGGTCCTGAAGGTTCACGGGGGCTCTCCAGGACAGCGGTCCCCAGCTCCTGCCCCATATCACCTCCTTCTCACTTCAGCTGCTTCTTCAAAAGGTGACAAAGGAACATGTGGCCAGTAGAACAAAAAGCAAATAAACACCCGATGGATCGGTGGCAGTATAAGTTATTGACGCAAATGGATAGGCGTGGACATAAATCACCCGTAGTGCCTAAGTAATAATGCTGCAAGCTCTCCAGCCCGCTAGGCAGCCTCCCAGCTTTAAGAATGTGTGCAGGTGCCAATAATTATACAAATTATGTTTATTCACTCGCTTCCCACCCACCCATTGTGTAATTAGCTCACACTGGATTTTAAAAAGAAAATCAAGGTCTATGTTTCCCATGCAATTTTCCTCCCAGTTACTTCTCCTTCTCTCTCCCCACCTCTCTCTCTCCCCCGCCTCCTTCTCTCCTCCTGCTCTCTCTCTTCTCTGACAATCTGTGGGGCAGCCTGGGGAGCCTCCTGGGGCACTTTCAGTCCTCAGTCCTGCCAGGGGCCATGACTCACACCTGCAAGCCCACCTACTCAGGAGGGAGGCTGAGGTAGGAGAACCACAAGTTCAAGGTCAGCCTCATCAGCTTAGTGTTGGAAACTTTAAAAAGGCTGTGGATGTGGTGAAGTGCCACTGGGTTCAAATCCCAGTACTGAAAGAAAAAAAAAAAAAAAAGGCCTAGTCCCAGCTGAATGCTGAGTCAGTCGCAGCCATGAAGCCGCAGGTGCTTCCCCAGGACTGCAGTCCTGTTCTGGCAACAGAGGACCAGGCCCCCAAAGAGTGACGCAAGCTCTGCTGCTGCCAGAGAAGGTCAGCATTTAAGCAGAAACGCCGGTCAGCTGGTCACTGCTGGAGGGAAAGCAGCCATCCCGGCTCTCCTGCCCAGGGCAGCTGGTCTCTGCCTTTGTCTCTCCTCCATCTGCAGGAAGTGTGGCCCGTGGGCCACCCTGACCACTTGCTCTAACCAAGGGTCTTCCTCCCTTGGGCTCACCGACTCAGCCCCGTTCCCCGAGTGACACGCCCGACTTTTTAGCTTGGAACTTGCCCTATGGCCAGAGCATTCCATTATTTTTGACAAATCTTTTTGCTATTACTCTTAGAACTATTTTAAAATCAAGAGCAGACCAAGGAATGTTCTTGGGAAGAATTTCTCCTCTTCTTTGGTGTATGTTATGTCTGGAAGCCTCCAAGGAAACATTAAAAATGAAAAAGAAAAAAAAAAACCAAACCACAAGGCCATCACATATTCTTCCAGCAAACAACCTTATAAAAATAGTTCTCTAATTTAAAAAAAAATACTATCTTTCCTCGTTGGTTTATCATTTCCTCCATTTTAATCGTCCAAAATTATAACTCAACTAAATAGATTTAAGTATAATTTAAATAATATCCTCCTTCCCCAGATAAGACACAGAATATTTTCTTCTTGGGGATTTACTGGTCCCACTCTAACCTGAAGAGAAAGCACATTCACGGACAAATTATGACCAATGTTTTCACCATCTTTTTCAGTCTTGTAGTGTCCACGGTAGTGCAAACGACCCATGTCCACGTGTCTGTCCACAACATCCATTAAACCCCATGCTTTGTGTGTCATGGGTCCAGGGACAGAAGAGGGCAAGGTCACTGGTGGTACTTTCAAACAACATGATGGACATTCCCTTTAGGGTCTATGAGACAAGCCATGCTAATGCCAATGACCATCTCATAACAGTCCCCGGACCCTGGGAGGATGTGTGGGCCTCCATGCCAGGGAATACACAGAAAGCCCTGCCCGAAGAGCACCCAGCTCCAGCAGTTATTATATAAGGGGGCTTGTGCAGGACAGGTCAGCACTCCAGACACAACCTGAGGAACTGGGTTAGCAGGGGAGGCAGCCACACAAGGCTCAGTTTTCAGAGGCCAAGATAATAAAACAAAAAAAAAAAATACTATTTACTCATTTATTCCCAAGTAATAACATCACTGCTGGACAATTTATAAAGCACTTTCAATATCCATTACCTTACCTGAAACATTGATATGCCTAATTCACAAATAGTAATTGCCTAAGACCCAAACTCTTTAGTCTTTAACATTAGCCTATCTGGTATTAACATGATAACACAATGTTTTAAAAAAATAATTACAACAAAATATGCATTAAAAAATGCAACCAGCATCAGCAATTTATCAAGGCCCTAAACCACTTAGTGAGATCCTATCTCAAAATAAAATTTAAAAAGGGCTGGGGATGTAGCTCAGTGGTTAAGTGCCCCTGGGTTCAATTCCCAATATCAAAAGAAAAAAAAAAATGGAACCCAAAAGTCCCATCTGTGTATATAAAAACAACAGAGGAAAAAAATTCTTTCTTTGATGCTGCGGTTTGGCTACACCTAAGTGTGTTCCCCAAGAGTTCATGTGTCACAGGCATGGTCCTCAGTATGATAATGTTAGAAGCAGACTTTTAAGAGGTCGAACCTAGTAGGGAGCACTGCCCTCAGGTCAACATAGTCTTATGGAACTCAATGTAGGTGAGTTGTGACAAAGAATGAACCTGTACCTTCTCCATTCTCTGGCTACTATCTTGCCAGAGGATCTCTCCCTCTTGCACACATTCTCACCATTATGTTATCCACCATAAGATCCTCACCAGAGCCAAGTCAATCCCAGCACCATGCCCTTGAACCTCCAAAGCTGAAGCACAAACCTTTTTTTCTTATAAAGTCTCTAGGCTCAGATACTTTGTTACAGCAATGGAAAACAGACTAATCCATATGGTTTCACAAAATATAATCCACATGACTTGAGTCTCAAAGAGAAAAACATTTTCGGGTGAACACTGGTGGATCACATTTTTCTAAACCTACTCTTTATAGCTTTGATAATAAAATATAGGAGTTTAATCTAATTCAATTCCTATGGAGTAACTATACATTACATAAAGTTTCCTAGTCCTTGTTTCTCTGAGTCATGCTTGGAGCTGCTGTGCATCAGTTTCCTAAATGCTCCGTGTTTTCTAAACCACTATTTCAGGACTTGAACTCTGTGATAGTGTGGCCAGGCTGCCCAACCTGATGAGCTGATCTTTACAACATCAGAAGAAACTCCCTTTGAGCTAGCTCACCTCCAGAGGAGGATTTTGGAGGCTGGGTCTAGTCTATGATTTGCAGGCCTGCCTCAGCCAAAGAGCAGCTGGAGCCAGAAGAAAGTCACAAGGTCAAGGACCAAAAAAGCAGCCCATAGCTCTGGACATGGATTTCATTTCAG